TGAAGTCTTTGCCTAGGGCACTAAGCTCGTGAATGGCTTGATATCCAAACATGTACACGGATTGCCATTTGATGGTACCGTTAGCTAAGAGGAAGACAGAGTCGAACTGGTTGGAGAAGCTTCCGAAGCCGCCATCAGTTGTGCCAGCAACTGCGCCGTACATAATACCTCCTGGGAGGCTTGTATTGCCTGAATTGATGGCGAGACCGCCTCCGCCAGTTGAGAGATAGCGGTTCTTGAACTAGGCAGGAGCAGGGAGCCAATACATGACCTCTACTTGATCATCTCTTCCGTTGTGCGAGTAGGTGAAGCCTACACTGCAACAATCGAACGTTGCGTCGGGAAACATGACTTGGCCGTTGACCGAAGCATTGTTGGTCGCAGAGACTTGGACTGAGGATGGATCGATGGTGATTCCGAGGTAGGTCTGACCCGATGGCAAAGAGGCTCTAGCGTACGAGCTGGTGCAAACCTCATCGAGGGTTGGCGCAGTATATGCGAGAGAGACAAACGCGGCAAGGGCTATCGCCCAATTCCATGAATGCATTCTAATGTTGTATTGACTGCCAAAGTAGGATGTGTGGAGTCTGCAGAAGAGATATACTCGTTTGAAGCTGGAAATGACAAGGATGGAGGACGTAGGAATGAGAATTGTTCATATAGTAAACAGAGACATATTAGCACCTCCGCCATCGCTGCTTCTCATCGATATGACGATGGTTTACAAGCACAACTCCTCACAGTCGTCGTAATGGCAGTACTACTGCGGTAGCGGACGTAATCCAGAACAGCAACGAGCTTGCAAATGGTGTACGCGTAATGGGCACGACGGGAGGTCCTCTGCCTTATCGTTGGCAAGGTTGCTCATAGATGGAACCAGATGAGCTGCTTGACGGTAAGTCATTGCTGAGGCTGATGTTGATGCTGCAAGGTGTGGATAAAACTTTACACGATTGGTGACAGATCGAGAGAGCCCAGGGTCTGTGGCGACTGGAGCCTAACGTGTGGAAGATTTGAAAACTTGATACATTAAACGACAAGCCGATGATCCAACTTCCTCCGCTTGGTGTAGTTGGCTATCGCGTCGGGCTGTAATGGAAGTTTCAGAGAACCTGAAGGTCGCCTGTTCGATCCAGGCAGCGGAGAAAGCACATCCACATCTTTTTGTTTTTGTCCAGGCATTGTGCGCTTCTGAAGTCCACTCACGACACTGCATGGTCTCTACGCCATCACCAGGGCATTGCTCGACATTCTCAAGTTTGCGTGAAAGTCCATCCACTTGACTGGTTCTGATGCTCCTATTTTTGTTACCCGGCAAGGTATGGGAGGATTTGCACAGAATGCTTTCACAACGGTCACCAGCAGTCATCTACGTATGCCCGTCTGATGTCCTGTTCAACAGAGAGCAAAACCTGATCGTACAACGCAAGCGGATCGCCGGACACATTCGGTGTTGATCGGAGGAAAGACTCCATCAACTCTTACGTGTTCAATCTACCATAAATCGATTGCAATTGCATAGAAGCGATCTACCAGCGGTTCATATCCGCTAGTCGTTGCATTGCGTTCTCGATCATTAGGCACGCCCGAAGGCTTTGCTGACACACTCTCTTGCATCATCTGATCACAACGGACCTCGTATACCATAAATGAGCGTGCATTTCGGAGCACAGTAGGCAGCAACGTCGATCGACACATACTACCTAAAGACTCATACGTATTCGAACACTAGTCTTTCGATGGCTGACACTAATTGCGCGCCTGATCAGAAAACACGAGTCCATCTGTTTTACACATCTCGCTCTTAGCTACCAACAGTATTTTGAGGCATGCCAATGTGCGGCAGCGATTTTGAAGAGCTGCTATCTCCCTTGTGTCGGCACGTCTTTAATGGTTCGCGCTTGGAAGGTCAACCGCCGCTCTATCTAACATAGGCTTACCTCGGAAACGCTGCATGCTCGACTTCTGATACCCTACAACGGGCGGAAGGATTCGCGCCGCGCAGTCCTGGACCAACCGTTCTTGCAATGACAAAGGCCCACACTCAGAAAGATTATGACATAGGTCCCATAGTCTACGGTCGTACACGGTCAACGTGACATCAAGCTTCTGCAAGTCTTCGCATCGCCTATAAGTATAACGGTGACCACCAACCACTGCGGCTGTTTTTGCAAGCGGAGTGCGCCCAATGGCTTATAGCGCGTATTATTCCCGCGGCCGGAGTCTCCGGATAATCAATAAGATCACCACAGACTGCTCCCTTTCATCATCGGAAACTAACATTAAGCATCTACTCAATCCCCGTGACCCGGATTTGATCATCAGGAACATAGACTAAGCATTCGTGGACCTGTGGATCCACGGGAG